GAAGGTGACCTCATCACGTAGTGAATACAAGTGGATGAAAGAGGATGCATTTCGTCGGTGCGGGAATCATTTTGCTTGAAACCTATCAACAATGCTCGGCTTGACGGTATGGCAATAGACCTGCCCCCCGCGTTGTAATGGCAACGCTCAGGTGTAACCCGGACGAACGCTTCAATGCCAGACAACGGCTTCAAGTGACACAGAATTGACACAATTGAGCTTCAGGATAAATGAGTCAGAAGGCGCAAATCAACTCAAGAGCAATGAGGTGAGGCAAAAAAACGGCGAACCAATCATATGAGATTTAGTCTCCTACAGCGCGTATCATCCTGCTTGTAGCTTAGTCTGTTCAGGTTTGACCCCCAATCCGACTAGCATGAAAGGCGTAAGGGCCTTGTGGGTACTATGGTCAAAAATGGAACACACCGTCTCTCATGAACCTGCTGCACTTGCTGCTGCACTTAGTCCGCCCGTCCTCTGGATGAGCGAAAGGGCAGGCTGGGGCATCGTGGCCAAAAAGCCCACAAGTGCTGCACGCTGCCTGCATGTGTGTTCTTGATGATGATTGCACAAGAGGGTTCTTGTCCTATGACATGATTGAACATGTCATTGAGCCGTCTGCAGCCACACAGCCTCACAGCTATCCTTTCTTGGAAGAATTTGTCACCAAAAACCGGTGCGGCCAAAAGACAATAAACATAATACGCACATCATAATAACACTTGGCAGCATCAGTTGTGTAGTTACACTAAAAGCGCACGTCGTACGCTTTACGTGTTGCAACTCGTGGAAGTTTCGCACGTGGAAAGCGTTTCCTTTTGACTCGTTGAGTTTCGCATCTTTGCGTGGAGTTTGTGATGTTTGGGGGTAACAAACGTATGTGCGACTGTTGTCCGACTAAGTTGCTTGGTTTGCATTGGTTGGAAGCGAGATGATGCGAGTACTCTAGAACCAAATGGCAATAAAGGTCACCAAACGTCACCAATCTTTTGAGCGCTGTCGAAAGTCAGCAAGCACAAATGCACAAGCACTATACGCACTCAAGAAACAGGACCATAGAGCTTCCCAATGGACACGATTCTGTCGCTAGCACAAAAGGTGCCTCTGGTTTGGAATCGGCTTCTGCCGCCTCACCTGTTTCCTGCAGTCGCTTTGGTCAATGCACTCATCATTTTGAATTGGCACGATAGATGAGCGGAGAGCAAAGAGGGGGGGCAAAGCGTGGAGGAACATCTTGTCGGTTCACCTTCTAGGCCCTAGGCTGAAAGAAAACTCAGACAGGCCAATCCCGTGGCCTCATCAGGTTTCTTTTCATCGGTCTCTGGCACCTGGAAAACAAAAAGCACAAAGACAAATGGTCGATTGCTGATTTCCGCACGATCGCCCTCACAAGTTCATGCTTTCCCTGGAGTGGCGCAAATGTGCTCATTGCAAGCGGTTTATCTAAGATAATTATGTCTCTAGTCGGAGGAAAGCCGTGGAAAGCTGATGGAAAGCAAAGACCAAGTCGTTCGCCTCTGCTGCACTTGCCAAGCCCTCGCCGTCGTTGGACTTGGCGCTGTCTATCATCAGCGCCTGAGAGCAAATCAGATACAAACACACAGGATCTTAAGGGTCTTGAGCGCACATTGAACTCATATGGTTGGTAAGCAACGACAGGCGCCTCTCCAGCAGCATCAATTGTAAAAAGCAGCTCTTCCTCAGCCTTCAAAGAACAAGGGCTCAAAGGAGATTCTGTCAAGATAGTGAGTAGAATCACAAATCAACGCAACCGCAAGGCAACATTGAGTCTCGCAGGCTAAGGTTAGATGTCATAGGGTGAACAAGGAACAAAAGTTCCTAAATGTGTGCATCGCTACCAGGAGCAAGAAGCTACTAGTAACAAGCATCGCTGCTAATCGCTTCTTGTTCCTAAATTTTTGCAACTGCACCCTATCAGCGCTCCATTGCGCTGCCCTCCAGGATGTGGCAGTCGATTTGAGGGAGATGTGCAAAGCAACAACCAAAGGCAGCTCCTATGCTTATATGAAAACGACCACGAAGAACAACTGAGAGGGCATCAGAAAGACCATGGCCTGGAAGAACAACAATATATATATATACAAAACACATGTAATTAATGCCCCATGGCAAGCTCGAATAGAATCCAATTATTGCCTACCTCTGCGGCGTCGTTGGTGAGCTCTATTCCAGCAGGGTCTTCGGTGATGGACAACTCGACCTTTCACGCATCCGTCCACTCGGTGCGTCCAAGCTGAAGCGAAAAGCAACACAGAATCGAAAGAAACGGTGCGGCGAAACTCCTCCTCGGCATCAGCTTCGGCAGCTTCAGCCGCTTCTGCAACTTCAGCTGTTTCTGCTTCGCTGGGGGCAACCTGCATTGTCACCTGAGAAAGAATGACTACGGCTAGGGCAGCTGCAGCGTTTAACTGCTTAACAGTTAAACATGCTCTAACTAACTACCTGGCACAGGCAATCATTTTCTTGAGCAGGGTTTGCGACTGACACTCTACCACAAGATACAACAATATTGTGTACTATAGTAGTGATGACGTATCAAACCGACAAGAGTTGCATGTGGCCCGTCTCGTGATTGTGCACAATACAAGAAAGCATGGCACTATTCGCGCCATCCGCCTTTGCATCAGCTTCGACGGCTTCGGCGGCTTGAGCTGATTCTGCCTTGTTGGAGGAAGCCTGCGGTGTGATGGCAACTGAAGGCCTGCATCGTCTACTGCACTTTCTTCTGCTGTCTGTCATTCCGTGGAAGTCCTATTGTGTCATATCGCTGTAGAGTTTTACA